AGACTCCTGAAACCCAGCACCCTCAAAGCTGCATGCACTCTTTCCCTACATGTGTGTCTCCTGCCTTGATTTGTGTGAGTAAAGGGCATTCATCAGCCTTTAAAGGAAAGTGACCACAACACTCGGAGCAACCAAAAGATCTTTACTGCAGCAGTGCAACAAAGAGAAAAGAAAGAAGGAAAGAGAGAGAGAGAGAGAGAGAGAGAGAGAGAGAAAAGAGGAGAGATGAAGAGGGAGAGAGCAAGAGCAAGAGAGAGAGAGAGCGCMCGCAAGAAAGACAAAGAGAGCAAGAGAGAGGGGGGCCTGGCAGGAGGGAGTTTTTATAGCCCAAATCTAAAGGGGCCTCTGGGTCTGCAAGCTGCCTTGTTGGCCCGGGGGGGGGGGGGGGGGGGGGGGGGGGGGGGGGTTAAGTGTTCAGCCTTGAGCGGGGTTGAATGTTCAGACTTGAGGCAAACAGGTGATAAAGGACCAGATAGAGGGGGGTTTGAGTGCGTAGGCTATCTTGCAGCCAACATCTGTTCAGCCTGCCCTGCAGACAACACAGTTCAGCCTGCTCTGTACCCAACAAGCCTCTGAAGCAGAAATCTGGGAGTGCCCTTGACTCTTCCATCTCAGCCATTCAGCACCATATTTTGTCCCCTTAATATCTCTGGCACCAGCCATTTCCCATCCTCACTCAATTACCCAACAATTGTCTCCCCCTCTTCTTTTCTGGTTGCAACAACCTCCAAGAAATTTGACTTCCTAATTACTATCTTGTTTCCAGTTCATTCTTCACAGCCAGTCAAAACCAAGTAAGACTACTCTCACCCCCAGGACTTCCACCATCTTTAAGGTCCCCTTTGTCCTCTCTGGCCCCACTGTAGCCATCTGGAGCCCCTAAAGTTCCCAGAACAGCCATATAGTTATATACCTTATCTTGGATCCTGGTACCTGTTTTTCCCTCTGACTTCAAGGCCCTCTCCCTTATAGGCTGATGAATGCCACTAGTTTTGAGGCCCAGTCAAGCAGTACCTCCTCTAGGAAGCCTAACTTGACCTACCCCTCCACATGCTCCCTTAGAGACTTTACTTCACACAACTGTAATCACATCTTGCCCCCTTCCCAACTCAAGGGCAAGGCCATGTCTTATTAATCACTATCTCCTATAGTAGCTAGCAGAGTGTCAGGCACATAGAAGGTGCTCAGTAAATGTTTGTTGAATGAATGATGGTTAGTTATTGGCACAAGGCTTGGACTCAGACCTATGGCTGTAAAACCCCTGTCCTCCCCAACACTCTCAAATGAGATCTATGTATCTTTTTGGGGGACATAGTGAAATCACATACAAAATTTTCTCATCCCACCTGCACCCCTGGTACTGGGCTTTGAGCCCAAGGGGAACTCTACCACTGAACTTCATCCCCATCCCTTTTTATTTTTTTATTTTGAGACAGGATTCCCTAAATTGCCCAGGCTGACCTTGAACTTGGKATCCTCCTGCCTCAGCCTCCGGAGTAGTTGGGATTACAGGTGTGTGCCACTGCACTGGGCTTTACAGAAAGAATTCCCGCCAGAGTGCGTTCTGCTCATGAAYACTAACTCTCTTCAAATTCAGAAGAGTCACAAAAACAAGGCCTAATCGAGGTCATCTGTGGCCTCACCCAGGTATGTATGAGCTGGGCTGGGGGCCTGGTCTGGAAGAAGGCAGGAAGAAGGAGAGGGCYCGAGCCTGTCCCTGCAGCGCCCACCAATGGTCACAGTGCTCCCAGAAGGCCTGCACGCATGCAACTGCCCTGGGCTTAGAGGGTCACTCAGTCCCCGTAGAGCTGCAGTGATGGTCGGGGTGGCACTGGCGGGCGTGGCAGCCCCGGCATCCCAAATCCTGTCCCTGTTGGGCCCCTCTGACACTGTGGACGAGCCCTGGGCACTCAAGCCTCTCCCCTAAGGCCGGAGGACCCACCTGCCTGACGGCCCGGACCGAGCCACCCGCGAGCTCTCACAGATCTCAAGGCGACTCGGCCTCGAGGCTGGGGCTGTCTCACGTGCAAAACGCCTACCTCGTATTTTCAGAGTAAAGGCATTTAGTGAAAAGCAGCCGGTGACATGGGTCCCCACGTGTGAGGGCTTGGGCAGGGGAAATGCCCTCAGGGCGGAAACCCTTCTGGCTAAAGAGACCGAGGCAGAAACGCATCTRTGAACCCACCAAGGAGCTAGGTTGTCTTGACTCCCCTCTCAGGCACCTGGAAGACTGCCTGCACAAGCCGACTGCTGGAAGCAACTGGTGACCTTGCCAGGGTCTGGGGTGGCCAGCAAACTCGGGGCAAGTAGGGAGCGGGGGTGGGGGCAGTGGCCCCAATTTAGGTTTCTAGCGTTTTCTGTTGGCCAGTGTTCTCCAGGACTTATCTCACAAGCCACAGGTGCTGGTGAACGCTTAAAATATGCTAGTGCAATGGAGGAACTGAATTCTAAATTTAATTTTAAATGATATTTTAATTAATGGAAATTGACCAGATATTCAATTGAGTTACTGAAAAACTTTTAAGTATATCTGGAACAATTTGAGGATGTGAATGTATTTATGACTGCATATTTAGTGAGATCTAAATACTGATCAAGTACAGCTGATGAAAATTTAATATCTGAATTGGGCTCTACATGTCAAATTCTCACAAGATTCAAAGACAGCATGCAAAAAATGCGAAATGCCTCATTAATAGTTTACAGTTGAAGTAATATTTTGAGTAAAACAAAATATACGTTAAATGATTCTTACTAGTTTCTTTTCCTTTTTTTGAATGTGGCTATTAGAAAATGGACAACTACATATGAGTCTTGCCTGAGCTTTTTCTCAGCCCCACTCCTCTGGCCCCCCATTGAGGCCTGGCCCTTGGCCTGTTCCATGGTCTTGCCTGATCTCTGGAACAGCTGGTGTTGGAYGAGGCCAGATCACGTGCAGAGGCTGAAGGGAAGACCTATTCTCTTCCAAGCACAAGAGACTGTAAGTGACTATCCTGACAGCCAGTTTGGGAGCCAGGAGCCAGGGAGCACACTAGGACGGCAGGCCTTCAGGGCCAGGTTAGCCTAGGATTAGGGTAATGATCAAGGAATATCTGGCTCTGAGAAATTCTCATGAACCAGTCTGGAAAGGAAAAAATTCAGGGCTACAAAACAGCCAGTTTCTGCAACCTGTATTCAAAATGAGGGTTTGGTCACAAGGACTGTGCTCTGGAGAGCAGGTGCACAAGCCCCATGTAAGACTCAGAACCCAGCTCCTTCCTGAGAGTCTGAGTTCCATCCGTCAAGGCACTAGAAGTCCTACGTCTGTGTATGAGGCAGGAGACACAGCTGGGTTGGGGAGCTGGGGAAGGAAGCCCAGACAAGGTTCTTACCCTTACCAAAGTCATAATCCCATATCGTACCTTGGGTTCAGCCCCACTAGGGACCAGATTACCCCACACTGTTCTCCTTACCTACCACTCCTGTGGGATTCCTGGTACCCTCTGAACCATAGCTTGACCCAGTGGGCCCTGTGTGCCTCTGCTCCCAATTAGGCAGCCCTAAGTATAATCTTACAAAGGACTAGTGCTCAGAGGCTGAGAGCATGTGTGTAGGATCCAGATTGACCACCCTGCACCCTGCACTGGGCCCCACCCCCCCAAACTCCAAGGCCACACAAGTGGCAGGGCTGCCTGGCCAGATTTCACTTCAGTCCCAATTCTTGATCCACTAACACAAAAAAGCAGGGCAGAGGGCTTATGCAGCCCTTGGTACAAACAGCCAGCCAGCTTCCTCCACTTGCTCATTATGCTGGCTGAGTTTGCCATGCAAACAGAACAAAGTCCAGACCTCCTGACCACAGGCGACAAGCCTGCAGAGTTACTGTGCTGCCCTTAAAGCTTTCAAGTTTACATTGTCATTAACCTTCCCAAAGAGGTTAGGTCCTTGGTTCTGGCCTGGAGTAAGTGGCTCATTTACATCTCAGGTTGAGGGCTTCAGCCCTTGACCCTGACGTTTTTTTTTGCTTTGACAATTGAGAGATTCCTCTTGGAGACAAACACTTTGAAAGAAGAGAAACTGTGACATGAATATTACAGAGGTTCCTCTGAGACTCAGTTGAAGCTGGTTTAGCTCTGCAAAAACACTGTCTACCTAACTGTTATCTCTTAAAAAAATCTCTTTTTAAATATTTACTTCTACTTTCCTGTTACATATTTTCCAATTCCAGCCATTAGGGCTGTGGGGCTGTCACCCATGACTGGGTCACTTTCAGGCTGCCAACAATTCGAGAGGCTTTGGCCATTTGCTCAGATTCCCTACTCCCAAGAGCCTGTGAGGAACACGCTATGAGAACAAAGGGGAAGATTCACTCCGTTTTGATTCGACACCAGTGGGGTACTGTTTGGTTTTATTAGATATAAGGAATTATCCATTCAAGTCAGAAGCGGCAAACTATTGCCATATTAGAGATTAGTACCAGAAAACCCAGACGCTGGGCTGGCTAGTAGACCCTCCCCCATGGCTCCTGGGAACCACTGATCTAATTCAAGGTCTCTGGCTTCCCACAGGCCCACTAAACTTCATGCCTTCTAAAGTCCTTCAGGGAAGAGACCCACCATCAAGATCATCCCTGGTAGCACCCAAATAATCTGTCTGCTAGGAAACAGCACTGAGACTGTCCCTTCAAGGATGGTGCACATCACAGCCATGTCTCAAGGAAACAGAGATCCATCTCAGCTCTGTTTTACCAGTTGAGAGTAAGCACCCAAATCTCAGGAAACAAAGACCTTTTTCTTAACTATTCAAAAGAAATCCTGAAAGTAATGAAAAAATAATGAATAAAACACCACTTAAACCACAGACTGCAAACTCAAATGCTCACCTGAGCCAGCACCAGGCAGGTGTCCTGTGAAGGAAGTGCAGTGGGGGATGGGGTGGGTGGGAAGGTAGGAGAGGGCATCCAAGTGGAGAAGGAAATGAAAACATGCCCCACATCCACCCAGAAAACTAGATTTTTTTTAATGTGCCAAGTTTCAAATATTGGCAACAAATACAAAAGATTTTTAAACCCTGTAACTTCTGCCTTAGACAAATTCCTAACGGATAACAAGCCCCACCACCCTCCCTACCACCAGATAAAATTCCAACCAAAATTATTATACAGAGATCAATGAGGAAATAGAAAAATATAGCAGCTTCAGATATACCAGTCTCCCCAGTTAAAAAAGTAAAATCAATGAATCAAAATTTCTTGAATTCCTGCTATGTAAAGATGCCAGCTGGATCTATCTACTGGGGAGACAACCCTGCATTATTAAAAAATGTCACTGCCACCCAGGCCCAAGGAAGATGTTGTCTCGTGGGACCTCACACCATCCCTGCGAGGCCAGGGAGGGGTAGGACCTGGCTCCCTGTTATGGAAAAGAAATTGAGGCACAGAGTAGAGAGGGCCCTTCCTTAACATCACAGAGCCCCTCGGCTAGAGGCTTCCGTCCTACGATTTGGCAACATCACAGAGAAAGCTGAAATAACAACTGGAAGGTCCAGAGCATTTGGAAGGTCGCGAGCTAAAGAGTAGTGGCACGACTGTGTCTGCGGAGCGAATCGAATCGCAGGAATGAATGGGCGTGGCCACTTCCCTGAGGGGTGGGGGCTTCCCACCGGGGAAATCAGGAGCTGCCCTCCCGCTGGAGTCTGAAGACCGGATTTCTCCAGCGCTCAAAGTCGACGAGAGAGGGATGCTGAGCCGCCTGAGGGTGAACATAGGCCTTGCCGGCTCTGCAGGGAACATCATCGCCCTGTCTGACGCAGGCCACTAGAGGAAAGGCTGCACACACCCTGGGGTGCCACAGTTCTGCAGAGCCTCCAAGTCGAGAGCTACCCGTCTCCTTGGCTTAGAGAAACCGAGGTACAGGGCTGCGTCTGCTTTGACCTTGGGATAGGAACTGAGACCTAGAGCTGACCGGAGCCTCCCCTGCCCCCTGCCTTCCTCTGGGTGGTGCTGTGGGCAGCTCCCAGCATTCTTACCCTCCAAGGACTTGGCACAGAAAGTCAATATCAACATGAGAAAGAGAGCAGCCCTTTCTTCTCACCGGCACGGCACGAAGGGCTATTTCTGTCCTGGCCCTGCAACACACGGACCATCTTGGCTCTGGCCTGACAGGCCCCCGGGGCAACAATGTGGTCTTTATTTTGGCTTGTTCTCAGAGCCAAGGTCCCAAGAAGCCTGACACTCTCTGGGGGACTCTTCCCAGAATTTGACGGGAAAAAGGGACTGGTTCTTCCAGTGTCTCAAAGGTGTCACCATATTGAGTGAACCAATTCTTTGCTGTTGGAGACTACCCTGCACATTGCAGGATTCCCACTCAATGCCAGGGGTGCCCCACAGTCAGTGACCCACCCCAACACACAGGTTTCCAATGCTGCCTGGAAGGGCAGCCTGGCCCCTGGCTGAAAAGCCAGTGGTTTGGCAGCCCCTCATGCATTTGAAAACAGAAGTCCCAGAGATGGAATGACACACCCCAAGTCACAGCCCAGAWCTGATGATATCTGGCCCAGAGTTCCTTCCAGCTGCACTCTCCTGCAGGTGTCCAGAGCTGCACACACCCTGGGGTGCCACAGTTCTGCAGAGCCTCAAAGTMGAGARCTACCCGTCTCCTTGGCTTAGAGAAACTGAGGTACAGAGAGCTAAAATAACCTTACTATGATCACAGTAGCAAATGGCAAGTGGAGAGCCGGTCCCAAGGGACAGTTTTCCTAGGCCCTGCCTGTCTTAGCAAGTCCTGCTCCCGAACTGGCMATAGGGAATGTGACAGCCCCCTAAAAGAGGGGTTTTCACAGTCACCACCAGACAAGGTCGACTTGGGGGCTCAGTGAGAAGGACCAGGCCTCAGGGTGTGGGTCAGAGCCAGGGACAGTCCGAGGGTCCAGCCTTCATCTGGTTTCTCCAGTGGGCTCAGGGGGCGTGTGRACGACTCCATCACAGGCTTTGGGTCCACTTCCATGGTCTTCACAGTCTCCGTTGGGAAATATGGTGGTGAGTGCCAGCTCCTCCTGTGAGTCTTGGAAGTTCTCTGGAACACAGAAGGAATGACCMATCAAAAAAAAAAGTTTCTAAGTCGATCAGCAAGGACTGAAAGGGAGGAAGTTGCCCCAGTGCGAATCTACTTTAAAAAGCCAAACAAAATACAGATCAAAAACCTTAAAAATGTACATACCCTTTGACCCAGCAATTCTACTTCTAGGATTTTATCCTGAGGAAATAATTAGGAATAATTAGTGGAACTGCTGCAGCCATCTTGCTTCCAGTCTAAGGAGGAAACATACATTGAGGATGGCCCAGAAGAGAGGAGGRAAAATCCTGAGTCTTTGTGGAGTTCAACCAACTCTGAAGCCAGCTCCACCTCTGAAYTGTCCTTTAGGTGTGATAATGAATTCCTTTATATATCTTATGCTGTTTTGAGCCCCAGGCTTCTTACCTAGCATCTAAAAGCATCCTGATTCTGATTCAGTGTCCAGCAAAGGGACTCAGAGAGAAAACTATGGCTCACACATATGGTGGGATTCAGCATTAGAAATGATATATGAAGTTCCATAGAACTAAAAGCACAAATGAGTGCAGTAAATTAGGGAAATCAGAATATGATCTGTGGATTACGCCCATGTCAGTATCTCCATTGTGTTACAAAAACTTCAGATGTTGTGTCTGCCAAAAACTAAAAAAAACAAAGATGTTGTGTCTGCCAAAAACTAAAAAATAAATATTAAAAAACTCCTCTCTCTCTCTCTCTCTCTCTCTCACTCACTCTCTCTTTAAAAAAAAAAAAAAAGAACTTCAGATGTTACCATGGGGGACACTAAGTAAAATGTACACAGGAGCTCTTTGTCTTATTCCTTATAATTGCATGTTAATCTACAACTACCTTAAAAAAGATAAAAGATGTTACTGACATAATTATTGCCATAATATGTTATGGACGAAAAAAACAGATTCCATGTTAAGTATAAGGTCTTTTAATTTAATTTTTTTCTTTAGTCGTAGATGGACACAATATCTTTATTTTATTTGTTTAATTTGTTTATGTGGTGCTGGGGATCGAACCCAGTGCCTCACACAGCACCTCACACACACTAGGCAAGTGCTCTACCACTGAGCCACAACC